AAGAGCAGAATTTGACTAACTAAATATGCTACAGATCAGTACTGAAAATGCTCTATCATCTGGTTCTGTAAAAACTGAATGTGACCGTGCACATCCTGCATTGTTTATATCTAAAGCCTAACTGAAGAATGCGAAACAGAAAACGACAAAAGACCAGACGCCCATGGTGAGAGCTTGTTTGACAGGATTAAAAGCTCTTTGCTACTTGGTGTGGACATGTTTCACTTGTTAATAGTGTGTATGCTGGAAAAGGGAAAAAAAACCATAGACTCACCATTATTCACCAATTGATTAGATAAATGAATACTAGGAGTTATGACGCTTCATTTTCAAGGTAATTTATTTTAAAATGAGATAAAATGTCTTTCAGTTTCATTTATAGACCCCAGATCTATGCCACAAGTGCCATCTAGTGGTGAAAATAAGGGATAGCCCTTCGGAATAGAAAACCTGTCATAAGGGCTTGTTTTTTGTAATTCTTGGGCATAACAAAGCACAGCAGAACTAAGAGGTGCTTGGAACAGTCTATAGGGTTAAGAAGAGGATTTCTCACACAATTTCAAAGTTGTTGTGGAATTATTGTGTAATATAATTTAAAAAAAGAAGCTACAAAGAAGAACATATGCAAAGTAGTAAAAATCTTATGGAAAAAAAAACTTGTTTGTAGATGTGTTGCTTTTCTTTCTTCAGTTTTAAAAGCCGCTCCACTAATTCTATTATATTTTTAGCCATGGTGTCAATCTCTTAGGAACAACAGCTACCCCCTAGCTCTTGGGCTCCCCTAAATGTACGTCACTGTATTTAGGAAAGCACGATGTTACAAAACCACAAAAAAAAATCAAATGTTTGAATTTGTGTTTTATACTGTAAACACCTCTTTAAATCCGTACGAACCAAGCTTTTTAACAATGGAAATAATACCTCTTTATTACAACAAAAAAGTTCATTAAAGAACAAATAGTTGTACAGATGTCCAAATCCACATCACATAAAAATGACCTTTATCAGGGGGAATGCAAGCACTATATGTGCTCTAATAAATTGCTAGTGGCTTTTGTTCAAAATGCAATGGTTTTCTCATTAACGGCCAAAAATCTCATTTCTCAGTGAGTATTACACTATTACATTTCAAGAATTCTATTTTGCCATTTCGCTTTATGAAACAATAAAGTGGTATATAAATAAAAGACGATTGTTTTAGTACCTTCTCGTAGTATTGTAGCTCATAGTCCAAGATGACTCCGTTGGGCTGGTCTGGCTGGGACCAGGACAATGTAATACTGTCCACAGCTCGACTGACCTGATGCATGATCGACACCGCAGACGGAGCTGTGGAGGAGATAATCTATTAATCAATGGATTATTAATTCTAATATTATTTGAATCATTCGACCCACAGAAGCTCCAATCGTGCACCATGCGATTTAAAGTAATGAAGTATTTTGGAGCTCATTTTTAAGAACAAATCAATAGCTTTGAAGCTAGGGTTCGCATGCTAACAGGCCACTGGGTTGCAGTTCCCTGGCACCAGTGCAGCATGGGACATAGAGGAGCCATTATATAAAAAAAACAGCTTCTAAATTGACTGCAAACTCCAAAGAAAGACTCTGGAATCCCCTTTAGCACTACATTACCATTTACAAGCATAAAGCAAGCTGCGGAAGCTGGCAAACACTGGCTGCAGTTAAAACTGCACATGTGGTTTGAAGATCAAACAAACCGGAGTTCCATTTACACGCAATTTATACATTAGTACTGCATTCTTACAAATGCATAAATGTCAAATACTTTAGTGTAAGCAGGCTAATCAACATTTATAACCTAAATAAAATAAAAAAACAACAAAACAAAACAGCTTGCCCAGTACATTTCTCCGAGCACCATCATTAATAACTCCCTGAGTGTGGGAGGACATTCATGGCTCCCGGGAGCTCTTGAGCTCACAGCCGTCCCTTCATTGTCCATTTTTGAGTATTTTGGGGGCACTTTTGTCTGTTAATGGTGGCAGGGAAGCTTTAATGTAAACTGACAGGCACACCGGTGGAGCCCCAGCCTGCAGTGATAGGGCCAGCGAGTTCACTGCAGCACAGCCAGTGGCACAGCGCTCATTAAAATGCTCTATTAAACACTATTATGTTCCTTCTGAACTGCTTCTTTTTGACTGACATTCAAAATCCCTGTACACAGCAATTTACCCAGTACTATTGAGTAGTACTCATGCTTCTCGTGAATGTGGGGAAACCCGATCAGATAAAGAAAAGAAGTAAACACACAAGTCTTGTAAAAATCGAGTGAAAAGCTGAGATTCCAGCTGTTATTTAGTACATAAAATTGATTTCCCAGATTCTATCCACGCACTATTAAGTTTATACACCCTGGAACTTTTGATTTCTTGATGCCATTTATCATCCAACAACTCTTTTTAAATCAAAATGACAAGTTTCTAAACGACTCGGATCGAAAGTGTACACACCCTGGTTATTTTGGCCTGATGACATGCAGGAAAAACGGGTTTCAGTTGCTGGGAACCATCCTCATCTGCGACATGTTTGCTTAAAATCAATGTTTGTGGACAAAACGAGTTTTTGGGTTATAGTTACAAAGTAGACACCCCTGTGTCTCAATGATTTTTCTTAGCTGGGATAGTGATATTCCAATATGGTTGCTATGGTAAAGTCAGGTTGCTATGGAGGGGGTCAGTAACCCACTATACTGTTCCTCTTGCCACTAAAAGTTAAATAAACCAACCCCCATGTCTCTATCATTTACCAAAATTTGGTCGCTAGGGTAAACAGTTTGGTTGCTAGGGAGCTCTTTTGTATTTTTTACTAATATTGGCATAAACAAACCCTCATTTCCCTATGATGTTTCATTTTGAAGACATTTTGTTTATGTTTCGCTGGAATGACAAACATATACTTTTGCAATACTTTTGCACAGTTCTCAGATATAGTTTGACCCCGTACCAATTCAATGGAGAATTTCCCAGCATTTTCGGCAATTTACCAGAATTCCTTTATTGGTTTCCAGTCTAAAAAGACATAGTAACCTGCTTTTGGATGTCTTGGCAAAGTTCGGTGGCTATAGCTCAAAAAGTCTAGGAGGAATCTAGACTTATTTTGTCTGAAAAGACGAATAACAATGTGTTGTCTTTTACAAGCAAATATAAATAAATTAATAATTTACATGCAAGAAAAGGCAATAGAATGTTCATGTCTATTTAGAAAGAAGCCATTGGTGTGGTGTGGACATAAAACGTTGAGGTATTTCATGGCGTGGTCAGGTGGAAACAGAAGGAGCATTAAATATAAATATACTGTACCTACATTTTACCAAATTACGGCAACCACTGAATAAATAGCATGGTCTTAGCTGCTCTTATGTTTCAAGAGTAAACTCAAGCACCGCTTAGATCTCAAACCTGGCTTCTCGGCGGTCTTACCAGCTTGGTTGGTTGTGATGTTGACCGATGTGAACTGCGGCGAGTATGGGCTCTGGTCAGACACTCCGTTCACAGCCTGGATCTCAAACGTGTACTGCGTGTGGGCCAACAGGTCACTGATATGGACCCGGGGTTCTGTCAAACCAAGTTGTCGAGGGACAAACCGCACATTATCTCCGCAGCGGGTGCAAGCACCTCGTCCAGAACCACAGCTCTTGCAGATGATGTTGTAAACCACATCTTCCCGGCCTCCGCTCTCCTTCGGTGGATCCCACTCCAGCCGCAACGAAGTCTCGTTCACGCTGGAGATCACTCTGTGAGGCGCAGACGGAACGGCTGTGGAAAGTCAAACCACGCTTAGCAGCTCCTCGGCTTTAGAGCACACAAGCTAAAAATAATTTTAAAAAAGGTTAAGTGTGAATTCGAACGCAATAGATCTTTGGAAAGGTGTCTGTACCCTATAAACCGTAACATGCCGTAAAAAAAGGATGAGGAAATTCTTTTATAAATGTTAAATACAGCGCTCAGCATAAATCCGTGCACTCTACTACATTTGTCAGAAAACCTGTAGTTGCCTTCCAGAATCAACATCTTCTACAAGACACCACACTACAGAATATTCCCATAAACGTGATTTTAATGTTTGCAAAAATAAGTACACCCCAATTATAGTGGAGAAAAGCAACAATTGATGTGATAAAATTGTAATTTATTCAACCACAGGTGAATCTAATGATTCATTTATAAAAGGACATTATTTAACAAAGAAAAGCCCATTTTCATGCTATCAGCAATGACTCCCCATAGACGATAAATGTCACAAAATCTGAAAAAGCAAATACTTTCTTTACCCAAAAAGGTGAGGGATACAAGAAGATCAGCAGAGCTTAACATATCAGTCAAAATACTGCAGCAAAAGTGATCCTCAAATGTAACAAAGATGGAAGTGCAACCATCTCACAGAGACATCCAGACCGTCCACGGAAGTCAACATCTCGACAGGAGTGTCTTCTGATGAGAAGAGTTGAAATAATCGCCTTGAAAGTTCACTGCCGTTTGCTAAAGCAGTAGTTTCCGGTGGCACCATATGGCACACACTGCAGAGGAATGGCATGCATGGGCATGCATCCACAAAGGAAGCCTCTCCGTAAGCCCATTTACAAAAAGCACACCTACTAGGGCCCATGCTGAAAAAGATAAAGACTACCGGGACTCTAGACTCTGAAGTGATGAGACAAAGATCTCTGTTTTTGAAACTAATGGCTGTACGGCGTCATTAAAAAAAAGGATTTCATTTATTTGATGCCTACAGTGAAACATGGTGGTGGTGTTGTCATTATGTGCTGCTGCCGAAGGAACTAAATACTGAAGGAGAAGATGCTGCCATCATTTGGTCGAACACTACAATGATCTAAAATCCACGTCTAGAGCTACTGCTGCCTTTCTGCAGAAAAACAGGGTGAAGGTGATTGAATAAGTGTCTCCTGATCTGAACCCAATCTGTGGGAATTCTGAAGCATCACTCTACATCCAGGATCCAGCTCTAAAAGCGCCCGGTTTTCCTGTGGCTCAGTTGGTAGAGCATTGCGCCAACCATTCAACGGTCGGTCGGTCAAATCCCTGGGAAAGCAAGAACTGGCAAAAAATGTATTCATTCAAAATGAAAGTCGCTTAGGATAAAAGCATCAGCTGTAAATTTTAAATGTAAAAGAGGTTCTCCCTGAAGAATGGAGAAAGATAGATGCTGCAATCTGTCGCCAACATGTTCAGTCCATGCCTAGAAGACTTTGTGCTGTCCAAGTATTCACCTCAGTTTCATGTTTTGCAGATAAATTGTTCTGAAAAGCTTGGAAATTACTCCTTTGTTCATTGATTTTCTGATTAAATTTGTAGCTTTTAAAGGGGGTGTACTCATTTATGCTGAGATGTTCCAGCCATTCCGATCCCTGACAGAGAAGAGCACTACTCCAGAGCTCACCCGGGCTTAACTGCCCCCAAAGAACAGAGAACATTATGCAAATCTCACGGGGCAATCTCTCAGCTCACTGAGTTCCAGCCCTGAATGAATGTTCACTGAGTTACACACTCAGTTGCTTTTTTTTGCACTTAATTGAAGCTTTACAAATCCTGGCTGCATAATGACGATTTTATGAAAAGCCTCCTCACATGTTCACCGGAATTCATCAAAATCTTTGTGGAAGCGTTTACCTCAAAATCATTATGTTGAGGTACTCAAAAATATACTTTATAAACTTTTTTGGGGGGGGCATTTTGTATTTATTGAAAGGACAACAGGTGGTTAGTAAGAGAATGGGAGGCTAGTGATGGGAAGTTCTGACTCGGATCTTTGATTCTCATTCAGCAAAATGAACAAATCTTCTTTCAGAGTCTTTTCATTCATTCATTTTTCCCCCTTTTAATTTTTTTTTTCAAAAAAATAAAAAAAGAGAAAAAAAAGGAAAGAAAAGAGAAAAAAAAGGAAAAAAGAGAAAAAAAAAATCATATTTTCAACCCACTTATTCCGTTTTTGTGGTCGAGGGCGTCTGCCGGTCTCCAGCGCACATCGGGCGTGAGGCAGGGGTACACCCTGGACAGGTCGCCAGTCCATCGCAGGCTTATTTCATTCATTTTAGTACAATACCAATAAAAGGTTGTGCGTTACTTCCGTAAAACATCTACTAAACACGCAAATGTGAATCACACAAATAAGACAAAACAAAGATAAAGACAAAAAAAAATACTTAAGCCCACCAGAGTCTTTAGTCGGGTTCACCTCTGATCTCTCTATAAGTTTAGGGCTCCTTCGTTCAACACATTACCAGAAAGAATCTATTTAAACAATTTGATAACGTTAGTTATTTTCTTGAGTCCTTTCGTTCTTTTGTCAATAATGATGAATATGCTGAACGTGAAAACCATAAAGATGTTGCGTACGTGCCACTGAAAGAATCCCTTTCTGACAAGATTCGTTCCTCCTAAATCACTTCAAAGATTTGTTCAAAATTACATGTAAATCCTTTGTTTCAAATACATTTATTTACACAAATATCGATACTTTCTTAGAAAATAAAAATAAAAATTTCTCTGCGGGAAGTTGGATCGTTAGAAGGCAAATTCTAGGTAAGTTCCTCAATTTCTTATTAACATATTTGATGATTTTGTGATAATATCTAAAACACTATCCTTTTACTCTAACGATTTCAGAGATTTAATTAGTTTAGTGACCACATATTTGGTAAATAACAGAATTTCCTGGTTCCATGTGCACCATGTGGCTATTTAGCATCTATTTGCGAATTCCTTCAGTCATGTTTCTTTTAGTCCTGTTACTTAAATAGAGAATAACAAGGATAAAAAAGGGCAGCCATCTTTTGATTATAAATCTAATAAAAGATTTAAATAAGTTACTTGAAATGGACCGATACCCATTTGGAATACTAAAGTATGTTTGCTACTTTTGAAAAAAATAAATTTTGAAAAGTTCCAATAAGCAAATGGTTCTGTGGTCAAACAAATGTGTGCAAACCTTGAGAACCTTCATTGTGTATCTTTGTAGTCCGAGTGGACTTTACGAGAAATAATCGAACTGCACGTGACGTATGACGGATCTACGAGACTCAGATCGACGAAAAGATTGGACCATTGTGAGAGTCAAGAGTGCTTACTCTCCAAAACATTACGGAAAAAAAAAAGACGAGAGAAAAAAATCCCTGTTAGCTTCAACATCAAAGAATTCAATTCCCCTGTTGTACATTGTTGTTTCCGTTTCAAATACTGTTAACATCAAAAGTATGTTTAGTCAAACGCTTCGAGGTGATTGGTTCATATAAAACCAGCCTCCTCTGGAGATCAAAGCTTTAAACGCTGTGTAAATTGAATAGAGAATGGCGTACTGGTGCAGGGCATCTGCAGAGGGTCTGAGTCTGTCCGATAGTATCCACTGCGACAGACGCAGCTGCTGGCTCCTTCGCTGCTGGTGCGACTGTTGATGGGACATTGGAGACACTGCTGATCCCCTTGAGAGGCTTTGAAGAACCCAAATGAACACGCTGCAAACAAAACAAAACGTTTATTAGGAGCTGTTCATTTCACGATTTTCAAGTTTAATTTTTTGTTGTAAAGGCAATTATGACGTGCAAAAATGTCTGCTGCTCTATCGCACCACCGTGACTCATGTTATATCTTTCTAGAAGAACATTAAAGCAGCCGTCTTTCCATTTGTGTCATGACTCAAGCAAGAAGCAGCCTTGCTGAAGGATTTGACAGCATTTACGCCATTAGACTAATGAAGGATTTCCAGCAGATTTCTGTGATTGGTAATAATTGATCTAAACAAGACTACACCTGAATAAGCGAATAGCTGGAAACATCTCATTCCACTCTCGAAATATTAGAGGCTTTATAATTTATCATCTACTCGATAGACTCCACCATCCTTTCAGGCGTTTGATGATCTGGACCGCCCCCAAGTTTGTGAGCGGGTTGGCGGTCTTGCTCAGATGGAACTTCAACCATTGACCTAACATGGTGTCAACTTCCCTGAAACTGACCACCCTTGTGGAGGGTATTAGTCATACTTCTTGCACAGACTGATACCTGTGCAAAAGTATTTGAACCCTAGGCTGTAGAAAGGGTTAAAGATTTACCATTGACTTAAAATAAAAAAAAGTAAATAAGAAAAGGCAATGAGAAGTTACGTCAAGGAGAAGTATTTCTCCCTAGCAACCAAATTTTCTGACCTCTATCTGAACACGGGGGCGCTTTATGTTACACACAGTGACATTGGGAACATTATATTATCACTTACTCCTTCATTGCAACCGCACGGTTTACCATGGCGACCAATTTCTCAATCTCAGAACTATGGGGGTTGGTGTATTTTACTCATTGCCATTCTCTAAACCCTCCATAGCAACCACAATATTTAGCTTTGGATTATATCAGCTTTGGAAAATAATAGAGACACAGGGGTTGGTTTATTCTTCTCTTTGACTCATTATGTCACTGACCGCTCTATAGCAACCAGGCTTTTTACCATAGCAACCAAATCAGCAGATCTACATCCCTGCTTCAGAAAGTTCTAGGAACATGCCTTGGTATTCAACACTTATAGTGAGAAGGGAACATTTTAATGAAATCTCCCTAGCGACCAGATTGTTTACCCTAGCAACCAAGTTTTGAAAATGTATTGCTCGGCTCAGGAAAATCGTTGACAAATGGGGTTAAGTTTAGAACACTCCTAGTCACAAGGCGCACGTTTTTAAAATCTGTTTAAACAGCACTTTTAGAAGTCAACATCAAACTTTGTGTTTTCTCTTAAAGTAATATTAAGCCTTAACTTTTGTTGCAGCATTTTTGCCATTTCCCAGTTTTAATTGCCCAATAATGATGCACTGCCATAGCCCTATGGGTATTAAATTCGTAACCTCCACAAACATAACGTAAGAAATCTATTTACAGCAACTGGACATATCTCCAGGACTCAGGGTAAATGTGATCTGTGTCACCCAATGTCCCTAGGTGCAGATCATACAAAATTCCCCAAGAGCAAAGAATGCTCAAGGAACTTGTTCTATAAGCCTAATACACCAAATGGCTGTGACAGTAAAACTCTTGGCTAGCGCTCACGGCCTTTGATTAATGACAGAACCTTCACGTTCTGCCAGAAGGGATATAAGGCTCACTCGATCACACAACCGATTGAGTTGGAGAGGTGGAGGTGGTGAATGAGGTGTTGGTCACTGTTGAATGAGGCAGCGTGGGTGTGGGTGACGGTGTACAGGAGAGGAATTAAATCTGGGGAACTATTGGCCTCCATAATAGAGACCGTGTTGAGGATGACGGAACAATATCCTGGGCACATATTAGATGTATTGGGCATGCACCAGTCATGACTGGAGTCTTTAATTAGGTGCTAATGGAATACTAGGAAAAACTGATTTAAGACCTTTGTGCCGCTAGATAGATGTTACAACTTTAAAGACTGGTTTTTCGCATTTCAGTGAGCCATTGTGGTTTTTTTGGTGAGGGCTAGTTCACAAAGCAGGAAACAACTTTATTGCTTTAGTATGATAGATTATCCTTCGATAAAAGTATTTTATTTCATCATAAACGCACACTTGCGAAGTCAAACTTGTAAATTACATTATAAAAATGTTCTTAAAGTTACATTAAAAGAGCAATGTTTAGAAGAAATGAAAAATATATACAAATTCTCAGTTGGACAATCAGGTCTGACAAATACGTCTATTAATTTTCATTACTTAACATATTTAATATTAATGGCACAAATAAACTTCTAAAACTAAATTTCGCTTAGTAGAAAGCATCTATAATCTTTGTTTCTTAAATGAGTTACATCCAGTAACTGCAGAATTTTACAAGTTATCAGTGAAAAACTTTACATTTTTGTAAATATTTTTATAACAAAATTGTTGCCTGATGATACTTTTTAATGCTTGCATGTTTTTATATTAAAAAGCAGCTTTCCTTTCTTAAAGTTATTTCATCTCAAGGACAAAGAAAAATATTATTTACATTTATTACTTATAAAATGTTATTTTAAGTATGAAATGCACCCTTTTATATAATTCTTATCAATCCATCTAAATGGGGCATTGGATACCTGC